TTCAGCAACCCCTATCCAATTGTACAAAGGACTCTTTCATCATAATTTTATAAACAGAATAATCTCTTCCTTGTTTCAGTTAATCGGAACCTTTTATTAAACGTGTCCACACAAAGAAGTCATCTCTGGTCAGTATCTTACTAGTAAGCTATTACTGCAAGTTTTGTTCTCTATGGGTGTAAAATGACCTGTCCACCTCCTCCATTGTCAAGCAGCCATCGTTCGCTGGGCAACCTCCACCCTCTTCATCCACCTTCAGTTATTGATTATCGGCTTACCCTTGATCGGCTTAGATATTTCTCAGACCAGCAATAAAGAGATAGGTGAATATTTGATCTCACAGAACAACAAGAACGACCCCAGGTAACCAAGCACTCAATTCACATTTCCGTCATATCACGTAAATTTATCTCTACTCATCTATCTCGTTTTATCGCTGACGTCATCACCACTGATTTCCTTCGTGTACGCCTCTTTCCCGCCAACGATTCGTCAAGTTAGGCTTGAAACATTTTACTACCGTTAATATATAAATCGCTTATCACCAGCCAATCCAGCTACAAGAAATCCAACACATCTTTATCAATACCACAAAAGCTGTAAAAAGCGATTACATATACCAGAAGCATTGTCCATAAAGCTAAACAGTCCTCCTGTATTACAGTGAATGCTGGATAATTTCCTCACTGATGACGAGGAGAATTGAGACAACACAGATGTCGTTCTACAGAAGAATGCTGAAAATACCAGTGAAAATATATGAGCAACGAGGAAGCGTTTAGGAAAATGGAAATAAAAAAGAGACTTATACTTAGAAAGAAACATTTGAACATTTTGGGACACATAATGAGGAATGGGAGCTTGTAATATTTGGCTCTGACAAATCATATTGAAGGCAAGAAATACAAATGGGGGAAACAGAGAGTAATCTATCTAGCAAGCTTGTATAAATAAATGACTAAAAATACCGCTGAAGATCTCAGGAGGCGTAAAAGTGACGATCACTAAAGAATGTTGATTCTTAGGTACACAATGTCTCTCTAAACTAATATCTTTAAAGCTGAGAACTTTTCAACCATAAAAGAGAAATATATATATATATATATATATATATATATATATATATATATATATATATATATATATATATATGTATGTATGTATTGCCATCCACCGTTAGACTGTTTCATCAGTGTGGTTAGACATCCGATCGACAAGCCAGGATCGAAACCCGGTTGATGTTTCCCTAAGCTATCAGCTTCCGGCAGAGAGGAAGGTGAAATTTTACGTATTTATTTTTGAATAAACACGCCAGCGACCCAGAGTGCTCGATTCATAGAAGAGCTTTGCATTATCAACAGAGCTGTCATTGTTTACAAATTCGCGCTTTCCGCTCGACCGAATTTTATTTTTTCGGAGGCGTGTATATATATATATATATATATATATATATATATATATATATATATATGTATGGGAAGGTACGTGTGTAAAATATAGTTTTACGATATGGTATTTTTATGGGTAAAAGTCCCCAATGTCAGAGACAGAGCGTATGTAAATGTAAAATTGAACATTGAGGCCAACACCAAGAGGCGATAGTCAGTTTCATGATTAAACGCTATCTTTATGGCCATAAAGATGGCGTTCTAGCATGAAACACATGTGTGTGGAGAGTAAACATTTCAGAATATATATGTTAAAGGACTATATGGATGAAGACAAAAGGAAAACTTATCTTAGCCGACGCGTTTTCGTCCTCTGAGGAAATTTATCAAGGCAAATACCTTGATAAAGTCTCTCAGAGTACGAAACGTGTCAACTAAGATAAGTTTTCCTTTTGTCTTCATGCACACACACACATATATATATATATATATATATATATATATATAGTTTAAAAGGTGTGCTATATTTATTGGATAAAGTGCTCAATATCAGAAATAAAGGTATATAAAAATGTAAAAGTGATTGGAAGTCAACACTCAGAGGCGATAGGGCTGTTTCATGCTGCACGCAATCGTTAGGCCACCTGACGATTGCATCTAGCATGAAAAAGCCTGTAGCCTCTGAGTGTTGACTTCAATGTTCACTTATATATATATATATATAGAGAGAGAGAGAGAAAGAGATAGATAGATAGATAGATAGATAGATAGATAGATAGATAGATAGATAGATAGACCTAAGTATATTTTAACTATTGTTCACCCTATACAAGGCCCCAGGACTACTTGAGATAGAGGATTAATGAAGGAGTTGTGTGAACGGTAAGATAAGACGTGCAGTTTATGAGGATATGTGGAAAAGGCAACTTTTAACCCAAGACTTGAACAAGTTAAGATTATACAGATCGCGGAAGTATCCTCTTGGGAGTCGCTTCCACAATGTGTGGCTGTTCGTGATAAGTTGTTCGAATGGAACTTCTAACCAATAGAATATGGAGGGAATGGGAGTTGTTCGCTGCAGTGTACATGGCATGGTGAGTCTTAGCTGTGTAGTTTAAAACTAGTGGAACCAAGGAATGTGGTTAGTCATAACATTTTCCATGTAAATAGCCATAGTGTAGCCATAGGCTTGCAACTTTTTGTCTGTGGGAAAGGAGTTGTCGGGTGGGAAAATAATTCATCACTCACAAGGTCGCGCAAACGATTTTTGAAAAGTGAAATTTGTGCAGCAATACTCCATTTTCGGCTTGATTTGACTCTTGTAACGATAGCGGATAACAGGGGGAGGGTGCTTACTAGAGAACCGGCTATTTTCCAGATGGATCGTATATATGAGTTCCACTTGAGGTTTGGTGTGAGAATGTCCCAATAGGCGTTTAAGGGAAAGGGCCTCTTTAACCACAGCAGAGAATTCTGCCTGTCATCAGCAATGGCTGACATTAGATTACTGAAGAGCAACACACTGTGCCTTCTTGGACTCACGTTTCCAACATACTTGAAATGCAGCGACTACATCGAATCAATAGCTGCATCTACTGCAAGGAAAGTTGGGTGACTGTGATGCGATGGAAAATTTTTCTAGTCAGAATCCATCTTGCCCATTTACAAATCTACCATTCATCCGTGCATTGAATACTGCTTCCATATCTGGTCTGCTGCTCCTGCGATTCACCTCTACGTTCTTGACAAAATCTAAAGAAGGATCTGCAATGTAATCGATCCTGACCTGGTATCTCAACTTCAGTCAATTTCTCATCAACTTGGTGTGGCTTTTCTCTGTCTTTTCTACAAATATTTTCATGGCAACTGTTCTGATGAGCCTTTCTCCTTGGCACCTTGATTAAATGAATTTAATAGATTGGCAACTAGTTCTCACCGTTTTATTGTTTATCTAGTTAGATGCAAGCGCTACTTCTACTTCTAACTTTCTATTTTATCGCACTTCTCACATGTTGAACTCGCTTCTGATTTTCTGTGATTCATACCGACAATCTTCAAAAATTAAAAAAAATTAAATGCAACATCAATCGCCATCTTCTATCTTCCTGAATGCCGTTCATCTTTTATCCCTTTCTCAATTTTCCTGCTACTCAGTCTTTTCTCTCACTTTCACTCCCTGTAACGTTCTGCGCACTAGTGACGCTTTGTTTGGGGTGAAATGATACCCCCCCAAAAAAAAAAACAAGAAAAAAAAAACACGAAAATTCAGGATCTGCTCGGTAAAGACTTGTATTCTTATAAAGAAGCATAACACAAACTCTGATAGAGATTTCTGTATAAGACTTGTAAACGGTAAGGATCTAACATATCTGCCCTGGTACCAAATAAAGATATTAATTTCATATTCCTCCAGTACAAAGCCACAATTGTAAGGCGCCAGGTGTGGAAGGAACTCTTGGCATAGTAATAATGCTCTACTGGACTACAAAGCTAATGCATATTTCAAAGCAAAGACACCCCAGATATTCATTAAACTCTGTTTTGTTTGATACAAGGTCGGCGAAAACTGAACTCACTACACATTCGTAATATTTTAAGTAACTTCACAGTGAGGGGTCTGCTTTTCATTGTGGGAATATGAATTTGAAAGTATTTATGTTAATCTGTGTGTACCAGTTGACGAGTTCGCCTTTGGGCATTTAGCATTCGTTTGCTTGTTAGCTTATGCAATTTATGTGTGAACAATCCCACCGGTTTGTTTGTAGATTTCTAAGGACAGTGTCTTCTTTTTTTATTTGATAATATCCCAGGCACATAATGTGATGACACACCGTTAAGCCAACAACCTGTTCCCTGAAGAGTTCTGTCACAGTTGTGTCCTCTAACTTAACACAAAATCTGAAATGAAAATTTGCATTATGAAGAGATTTTGATATATTCCAAAAGTTTTTTTTTTAAATCCATAAAAAATCGGTTGTAAATTGTTTTTGTTCATTAATTCATTTTCTACGATTTATCAACCCTTTTCAGGTTATTTAAAGCTAGAAAATATTTTTAGATTGTAAGAAGTATTTTTTGGAGGAGGGAGATAATAATAGTTTAGTAATACAAGTCTTACTAATTAACCCATAGATGAGGGGAGAAGAGGTGGGTTTATACCTAATCAGAATTTGATAAACAAACAAGAAATTATTATGTGGATATAACATGGGGGATCGATTCTATATCACAATCAATATATAAACTGACCCGTCACTTTGAGGTCATATCAGTTGGTATACATTCATATTCAAGAGAGTGTAAATACGTCAAAAAGACATGACTGTGTAGCTAATCAGTATTTGATTGATTCGTTTTTTACGGCTTATCAACACTTTTACAGGTTATTTAAAGCTAGAAAATATTTTAGATTATAATAATTTTCTTTTTCATATAATAATGATTTAGTGATACAAGTGTTGTTCATTAACTCATAGCTGGGGGGAGAAGAGGTGGATTCATATCTTTCCAAAGTGTATTTGCGCGTAAGTGATTATAATGAACACAATGGGGATTGGAACTCGGCTCTCCAATTAAAAATTCTGAGTTATTATTTATTTCACCAGTCCCAAGCTTACAGCAACTGGTATTACCAAGCGGTCGCTCATTTAGGTAATGACCAGGCTTGACGTTGCTTAACTTCGGTGATCGTACAGGAACCGGTGTTTTGATGTGATGTGGCCGTAAGCCTAGTTTTTCGAAACTACAACGAGGCTAGTATGGGAAGTTTACTTATTATTATTTATTTTTATTTGCAGGACATAAACTAGGTTAACAGCCTCCATACATTTTCGAACGATATGACGATATTTTATTCGTTTTGTTTCCAGGGAAAAATTATTGATTTTTGCACGCTGTTGTAGACATCGGACAATCCCTTTCTTTACTCTGCAAAGTTGTGACCAAGATACATACCAACAGGAGAGGGTCAGCATCAAACACACGCTTCAGAGTAACAACTACCCTGTGAACAACACCAGCGTCTACAGGCAGAAGCAGACGATATAATATGGTGAGGATTGCGATTATCTCTCTCCCTTACGTCAAAGACTTTTCGGAAAAGATTCAGAATATCTGCAGTTCATACAACATGAGAATAATATTCAGAAGCATCGCGACCTCACGGAGTAATATTTTCTGAGTTAAACCTAACAGAGAGTCGAACCAAACCAAGAACTGTGTATATTCCATCCCTTTCAGTTGTGGTAAAGAATACAGGGGTGATTAGTTTCACCTTTATATTCTTTAAACAAAACACAGGCGATCCCATTATTGAATTAAGTGGATCACGTGACCATAGATGAAACGCATATATAGAATGTCGCGTGACGTCTAGCTTGATCTGCATTTCTACTCTATCCTCTCTCCTATTACTATACAGACGGCTATTCTCTATTCTATTCACTATACTATTTCTTTATTCAGATCACTATACGGATTACTGTTCGAGCGAGTATTATCGAGCAAGTACTATTAGGGTGAGTGTCATTCGAAGGCGTCTGACATCAGAATTGTTCAACGGCGTTACTATAGTAGTATCTGCGATTACAAAGTATCTACTACAACGAGCATTACGAAAGTGACATCGAGTATTCGTTGACATCACAAAATTGGCAACGGGTGTTCGTTGACATCACAAAAGTAAGTAAGACAATGAAATAAGGCATGGCCGCTAATGCATGCAAAGAAAAGTATAGACACTAACCTCTTTGGAATGAAGTAAAATACTAGGCACTGGTAATCAGACGCATATGCTGTGCTATGTTGGGCCTCCTCAGCAGGACCAACATAGAAATAAATTCCATATGAAAGCCATTAATAAATAAAAGAAGAGATATGACAGCAAAGCCTCAAAATCAGTAGTAACAGCAAGAAAAGAGAAGACACGGCGAATGCATTCAAGTGTAACAGTAGCAGGCAGGATGAAAAAAGATTAAATATAACTCTAGAGTTCTAGATTCGGGATTGTTTCACCGGACAGTAGCATAGTGGATTCCTGCGTTGTTCGTGAATTTAGTGACATCGTAATTGTGAGTTCAATCCCGAGTAGTGCAGATCTAGGTTTAATGGGAGCAAGGCAGTGCCTGGTAAGAACAAGACGAGATCGACAAGCGAATGAGAACACTACCTCTATAGATTAAATAAAGGTTTCAGTTTGAAATTCTGTGAAGGCGAACTGGATCAACGGACACCTGAAGAAGGTGGAATTGTTGTAATAACATTAACAAAGATTTAATCTGAATGTTAATACTGCTAACTCCTCGTCTCAGAAATTCTATGAGGATTACTTTTCCCGGCCAGTCATAGCTGTTTCTCTACCTCTGTGTCATCCATACATAATATATATAATACTAACAGGCTTCGCCCGCTCGCTATCACTTCACAATATAAGATATATTCACTACTTGAAATCTTTGAAACAAAAATTTTAAATGGACATTTCGTTCATAAATTGGCTTGTTATATTTAAAAGAAGTTTTACAAATATATGCCAACTTGTTGAAGCCAAGTAAAATGCAAATTTCAAACACTTTTCTGCACTATATAAGACGATATTCTTAAACAATTATTTTTGATATGAAAATCAAAACAATCCTTGAATAAAAGAAGAGTAATGCAGGACAGTTAATTAATGAAATAAACCTTTTTAAATCAATATGCAAATTAGTTAAACCTAAAGCGTGATATTTTTTTAAAAGTAGATAATATATAATACAGATATTGACCTTTCAGTTTAGCATTCTCGAAAGTTAATGGTACAGTTTTCATTTAAAGGGTTTTATGAAGAATCTGCTATTTTTTTTAGAGAGACTGATAATGACTGATTTAAATCCCCAGAGAAAGACAAAAAAAAAAAAAAGGAAAGAATTATCCACTCCTTAAAAACTATGAAATTTCGCATCCATTTTAAAATGTCAAATGGCAAAGACTTGACTTGGACATAGAACCATGTGCTTGGTGTGTTTAGTTAAAAATAAAGATTTTTTAAAAGATAAAAGTAAAACTAATGCATTGATTAGTCTTCTGTTGAGAAAAACTACTTTAGAGAAAAAAAGGATATATATATATATATATATATATATATATATATATATATATATATATATATGTATATATATATATATATATATATATTTATATGTATATGTATATATATATATATATATATATATATATATATATACATGTATATATATATATATATATATATATATATATATATATATATATATAGAGAGAGAGAGAGAGAGAGAGAGAGAAAGGAGTGAAGGAGAGAGAAGCAGAAGAAAGTGTGTAAGCGAGGAAAGTTTGGGCGTCAGAACGTGAGAGAAAAAATCAGATGAAAGAAAAAATTTCTCTATCTCCCTCCCCATATATATATATATATATATATATATATATATATATATATATATATATATATATATATATATATATATATATATATATATATATATATATATATATATATAGTTCACCGTGTTTATCCAAAAATAAATACGCTGAAATTCACCTTCATCCTCTCGCGCCTCGTAGGTAGATTCTCCCACTGACGTCAATTCAGCCGGGTTTCGATCCTAGCTAGAGGCAACTGGACATCTGGCTACATTGATGAACTATGATAAGCGAAACAGTCTGTGGATGACAATATATATATATATATATTTGTACATATTGAAATTTTATGTCATGGTTTTTTTTGTTCCCTCTGAATTTGTGGTATTGTGGTATATGTAATATTGAATGGCGGGGGATGAATTTTTGTGGTGAATGAACAAATGAATGGTTCGTGAATCAGATTAGCTATGTCTAGGATAGAAATTGTCGACCAGCCTTTCCCCATTTTCTCTTTGGCCTTGTGTCACACTTGTTTTAATTAAAACAATATATATATATATATATATATATATATATATATATATATATATATATATATAGAGAGAGAGAGAGAAGAGAGAGAGAGAGAGAGAGAGGAGAGGAGGTGGAAGGGATAAGGCAGAAATAGAGACGAAAGAAAAACCGAAAGACAAGATTTGTTCTCAACCATGAAAAGCAGGTTTATAATTGTGTAGCATTAAAATTATTAGTAGAGAAAAGTAAAATAAAAATTAGGTTAAGTAGAAAATAATAGTGACATTCTTACTCCTTTTTTGAACATGGAACTAATTTCTGTTGAGAGAACATTTAGATAAAAGTACAGATAGGTAACGAATATTGGACGGAGAGAATGAGAAGATGCTCCAAGAATTTCCGTAATCCTGTTTATATAAGACGCAATTGTTTTTCATCCAAAATTCTGTCCAAAAATCTGTTGCGTCTTAAACTTTAGTTTAGAACTCAATACCATTTTCCCCCAGACCCAAAACGGTCAAAATCATGTCAAATTGGGGTCATACATTTACCGGAGATATAATATCTATCTAAGGGAACAAAGGGAAATAAATTTTTCATAAATTTCGTATATTTTCTGGATTTTGTTGAGTTTAGTCAACTTTGGTAATCATTCAAATTTAAAAATATTTTTTAATTTACGATAAAAAAAAACAAAACAAAATGAGGCAAGACAGAGAAAGAATTCGATCAGTTCTACGGCTTTGAAAGGCTCGATGCGGATGATAATCCATTCTTGGATCTTGGATGCCCATGAGCATAGAAAATTGAGCTGGATTCCTCACAAACAGTCCTTCTGAAGACTACAAGGAATACCTCAGATTGTCACAAAAATTAAAAACAAACACAAAACAGGTTAATATTTATCCAACTTAATTTCGATTTATTTTCTCAGTGCGTATTTAGTAATCTTATACCCCAAGAGTCATTACAGTCAGTCAGTTAAGTGCCATACCTGATATACGCCAAGGTGATCATGTCCCTTTTGACCCGAAACTGACAGAAAAATTTCCCGCAGCAGGCTATAGAACCCAATCTGTCCTGTTATTCAGTCTATATCTGGGGTGGGTGAAGAGACAGGTTCATACCTCCCCTAAGAGTATTTATGAGTAAGTAAAGGTAACGAACTTGACTGGAATTCGAACTCGGCTCTCTAATTTCTCCTTCCGAGACGATAACCCAGTGGTTTTCAACCAGGGTTCTGTGGAACCCTGGCGTTCCGCCAGTAAAGCCCAGGGGTTTCGCAAGAAGTTACACAAGTACTGTGATTGACAGTAATTTTTAATTCTCCTTCGTGTGTGTCTGTCAAAAACACGACCCAATATTAAAGATTTGTGGAAGAAACATCAGGCTCAAGTTTTTCATTGAATTTTTAATGAAAATAAATGTAATTCATTTAAACTGAAGTTTTTTTAATACATGTGTAATAACCGTAGAAACAAGATTAAAATTGCATATGTATGTATACAATATTTTTACAGTTTGTCTTTGTATTTTTTTTGTAAATAAATCTGAAGATGAGTATTTTTATTTTATTTTAATAATTGAAAGCTTTTTTTTTTTGCATAAGACAATTTATTGCAGGGGTTCCTCGAGCCACTGGAATGTTTCCTTGTGGTTCCGCTTCAGCAAAAAGGTTGAAAACCACTGCGATAACCATTACACCAGAACGCACATCAAAGTAAGCAAGATGTTTCGTTTTTTTTTTCATTTTTTCTCTCTTCCTTTTTCACATGTTTAGCTCATTTTCTTCGCTCTAAAATCAGTTGAGTTTCATATATGAAAATAAGCTTTTT